TGTGTCTGTCTGTGTGTGTCTGTCTCTCTGTTTGTGTCTGTCTCTCTGCGTGTGTCTGTCTCTCTCTGTGTGTCTGTCTCTGTGCGTGTGTCTGTCTCTGTGTGTGTGTCTGTCTCTCTGTGTGTGTCTGTCTCTGTGTGTGTGTGTGTCTGTCTGTGTGTGTCTGTCTCTCTGTTTGTGTCTGTCTCTCTGCGTGTGTCTGTCTCTCTCTGTGTATCTGTCTCTGTGCGTGTGTCTGTCTCTCTGTGTGTGTCTGTCTCTCTGTGTGTGTCTGTCTCTGTGTGTGTGTGTGTGTCTCTCTGTGTATGTCTGTCTCTCTGTGTGTGTCTCTCTCTGTGTGTCTGTCTCTGTGCGTGTTTCTGTCACTCTGTGTGTGTCTGTCTGTGTGTGTCTGTCTCTCTGTGTGTGTCTGTCTCTGTGTGTGTCTGTCTCTGTGCGTGTGTCTGTCTCTCTGTGCGTGTGTCTGTCTCTCTGTGTGTGTCTGTCTCTCTGTGTGTGTCTGTCTCTCTGTGTGTGGAAGGACGTGTTTCCGTGTGTGTGTGTTTCCGTGTGTGTGTGTCACTTTGTCTGTGTTTATCACAGTTGAACAGCATTCAGTCACTTGCTGCATATAATCAACATAACAATACACCTGAATACATAAAACGAGGTAATTTCAAATTCTTTTATACAACTGGCAATATTATCAAAATAACGTAATCGGAGTGGATTATGTTTAACAAAAGTGAACAATTGCAAGTACACGCCAACTGTACACATATTACAAAATACCACGGAGAGAAACATATCACGAGAATACATATTGTATGACATACTCCCCGTACAGCCACCTGATATTATTCAGGTCAGGGTGATCGGGATATACACTTATATGCTTGTTGACGTTGTACAACACACAAAGGTATCGTGCTAGGAGAGTAAATATACCAGCCTTCATTATGAAGACGGCGTTGTGTTTGATGTTGCATGTTCATCCGTTGACATTGACGTGCTTCCATTGTACCTGGGTCTGCAAATAGCGTTCATCTCTTGTTCAGTATATATTTGTTTTCTGTTGCTCCCAATCACATGTTACAGTATGTAGTGGAACCGCGTTACCTTGGAAACCCAGTGCTAATGAATGTGGGTTTTTTTTTTTGCTCCGACGATCCGGTGACTGAGTGAGTGTGTGAGTTTTCGAAGTCTTGTGAGATAGTGAGTGAGTATATTCTAGTTACATTAACGCGTGTTAGCGGGAATAGCCCGAAACTATGCAAGTCTGTGGCGCTTACCACTGGTGCTGACAAAACTGGAGTGAGTATAGTTTTACGCCTCTTTCAGCAATTTTCCAGCAATATCACGGCGGGAGACACCAGAAATGGGCGACACAACTTGAAACAATACCGATAGTAGGTTTATGTCTGTTGTTGGGGAAATCGGTTGCATATACCATCTTCAGCGCTGATTACCTCCATAACGTCAAAGCATAACTGATACATACTTGATTAGACATATATCAACTATGAAGACAAATAGTGTTTCCACAAGGGTCTCTTCCGTTCCCTCTTGCCCTAACATTATCACAGTTTACACTGGGACGTCGCCTTTAAGACTAGATACACGACACGCGGATGGATGGCAATAAAGAGGGTAGAAAACATTAATCAACTTTATCAATATTGGATGCCACTATGATGGAAGTCAAATATCAAAGCAAATCAAATATCCTTCTTCGCGGGAACACCTTTTAAGAAACATCACTCTACAATGAGATCAACACAAACTTCCTTCATTTAAATTAGGAAGATTTGATTCATTTGTTAATGAACATTGATAACAAGCAACATACATTATATTATCCATGAGTACAATATGCGTAGCCCAGTTTCGGTGTCCCCCCGTCGTGATATTGCTGGAATAATGCTAAAAGCGGCGTAAAACTCACTCACTCACTATATATATTATCATCAGCACACATAATTTGCTCTAGATTATAATTCGTGTACTTGTCAATTTTAACAGTGTCGTGGCCTTACGCGCTTTTCCCCGCCATGTATATAAAGGGTGTTGGGAGACATATGGGGAGACTTTTTTCTGAGAAAAAATAAATTACCACAACAATATTATGTTTTATTTTGGAAGCAAGACTAATATCTTTTGTAGAAAACAACATTTAGTTGATATAGTTGTGTCCTTAAGAAAACGGTATATTATAAATGTATACACTATATACCATGAGCATTGTAAGTCGACAAGATTGTTCTACCTTGTGTCATCAATGCCTGTACACGCACGCACGCACGCACACACGTACATCATGCAAGACACTACCATACACTATTCGTGTCTAACCCCTGATAAAACAGTGAAACATAAATTAACGGCAGACAGAAGAAATGCACCAGAAAAATGTAGATTTGAAAGACACGAACTTTGAATAACTGCACCTATGTTATCGTAAGGTTTTAAATACATGTATATATGTTCCATATATATACTAAAAGATTACTTAAACGATGTGAAATCAGTTCTTGACGACTCCTATGAGACGTAGGTATCTGTCAAACACGTAGTAAAAATATCGCTGATATTTGAACAAAATAACTTATGATAAACATTGTATATTATTTAGTTCAAATTTATCGCTGAAATTTAAGAAATCAGATAAACAGGCTCACATCGTCTCCCACTAAAAGAGGAAACGTCCAGATGAAGATTTGTCATCAGCATCACATAAATATTCTATATCTCTTTTGTCTGACAAATATACAACAGTTGGGGTCATGCATAGTTTATTCCGACAGGCTGTGAGATTGTTCATGCCTCCTAATTCACACAGAGGCGTAAAGGTGCTTGCATTACTTATGAACGTGGTGGTGGGTTTATCGGCCTGGCGTTGCTCCACACCAGATATGTGAGAATTTTTATTCTTTCCCGAGAATACACAATGATTCGACGGTGTGATATATAGGCTGATTTAAATTCCATTATATATAAAATAACATTGTTTTGAAGCTTTTGTAATTTGTGGCAAGGTTTAAGAAAATTCCGCTTTTGAGAAGAATGTTAGAATGTTAATTGGGTAGATCGCGTGTACCGAAACATTACTACACGAGCGAGTTCCAACAGAAGCATATATTTATAAATTCCAGCAGAAACAAATAAACTGTAACTTTGTGTTTAGTATGATGTTTGTTATTTACATGTACTATCAAATAACTTTTACAATATATTTGTCTGGATAAGCAAATGTCCGGATTAGCAAATATCCGGACTAACGAATCAAATAGGTGTTCCCAACAGTAATTGTCTTGAATATGGGATTCCGGATTAATTAAGTTTCATTGTAAATGATCTAAAGCTTATATACAGCTCATAATATACGTCAAATTCGTGACTGATATACTTCATATGAAAGCAGTTGCAAAAAGCTCCATTTTTGAATTTCACATCGATGAATAATATAGGAAAATTCAGCTTCCTCTTAATACAATAAGCGACTGAGATAAGATTTCCGATAAGGTGAATTGTGTTCATACAGGTATAATCAGCTTTACATCTCAATGTTTATATAGTACAAGATTATATTAATAAAGAATGCTCATTTCAAATGTGAAGTTATTGTTTAAAATGAAAAATAGTCTTTGAACACCATTGCTTTCGTATCTTATCTCTTTATATGCAGTGTCCATACCTTGTGTATATACCTAATACATTCGTGCAATATAAAGTCATTTTAAAAGTTACCGTTCGATCACCGTGACTTAAGTTAGAGATAACCGTAAACAGTAACACATTCACAAACCAAATAACAGGAACTACTACTAAGTCCAGTGAAGAGCGTATATACTCTCAAACTGAGAGGAATTTCAATTAATGTAACATCTAACCAGAGGGCGTTGTTGAGATTAAAAGCCTACCGCTACATGCCTATGAAGGTATAATTGAGAACCGTAAACGATATACATACAGGTGATCATATTGCTTCTTCATTATCACTGAGGTTGTTTTCTCCGAAATTAACGCCAGGGAATGTGACCGGCTTAGGGAATCGGAAAGACAGTCTCGTTCGCCGGACTACGAGAGGGTGCTTAGTAAGGTATCGCCTTCGTTCCCCAACGATGCCTTAAATATTTGGATCATCTAGTTTCAAGGAAGCTAAGACAGGGATTTCTTATACCTTAGCTTGACGGCGAGGATTATCATATTGATAAATACTAGCAAGCACGACAGTGTAATGAAGCCAGCCTTTCCGTCATACGGATCGGGTTTGGGAAAATGAGATTGTGGCTCTACCCCACAGGGCGTGGTCCCGATCGCTGCTGGGGTCTGATGTGTCGAAATTAGGTTTATATTATAAACATGTAAATTAATTGTTAAGAATTGTTGTTAAGAAATGTGATTAATATGAATTTATAAGGGCGTTTTTCGTTCTTATGATGTGAAGAGAGCCGTGTTGAAATAAAGTTTGTTTGGCAAGGACGGGTTGATGTGGTATATACCTATATTGATAAGTAATATTTTAAATGTCTAGTTATTGTTTAAAATGACAGTGTATTGTTTCTTATCAGTAACAGACATGTCCCTTTATATACTTTTTTAATATGTATGCAATAGTCGTACTTCAAGTATTATTAAAATTAAAATGATGACTTTTACACAGTGTATTTACCCTAAAAACTCAAGTATGATTTCGAGCCCAATTTTGAAAAACTATTTTCGTATCTTTTACATTCATCTTTGAGGAAGACGTATCGCCGAGTGTGTGAAAAAGGAACCTCACACACCATCAGCTGCAGAATCTTCGCAAACAATGAATGGTGGACATTTTATTGTAATTAGTGTTTTTCGTTATAATATGGATTCCTGGAATATGCGATCGTTTTGGTGTTTGATTGTGAAAACGGCAAAACACAATCGACTCAAGAAACAATATAACAAATATATTTAATTTGTAATCAAGGGTCGATGTATGTAATGCAGACGTTACAACTGTTATATGTAAACAGAGAACACAAATGTATTACACAGATACAACATTTTATTATTGTATAGGAATTGGATTTATAAACACATATAATGATATCGTCAAAATTGTACAATTTTAGCAGATACTTCTTATTGGTAAGGAAATTGTTTTGTCGCTTTTAGTAATTGAAGTGATTATATATCTAAATATATCGGCTTGCAACTGTACTGATTTATTTGTCTTTCAGAATATTTGACTCCTTGTAACATGTTGGCTGAAGACAAGTAACTTGTTTCTGTTCTTTCGGCGATGTGATTAGATTTGAGAATGCCGATGTTATGCCATTCAGATCCTCATAACAATGTGTGTGTAACCCCATGCTCTCCTAATCACCCCCAATCCTTCCCATAATACTTTGTTTCTATAAAATTTAAATTACAAGTCCCTTTTTTCATTCACCAAACCAGGAGAGCAAATCCTCACGACCTCTCACCCTTGACAAATCTGCCTTCGTTTTCATCCCTGAAGCCCCTGCCTCTCTGTCGTCGGTAAATATCTTAAATCGGAGATTGTCTTGCATGATCGAAGTATCGGCAGTGTTAACCACCAATCACTCCCGTTCATCAGGCTTTTGATGGTTAGTCAGGTTTCCGCCTTGTTTTCCGTTTCGATTTTTTGCTCATCCCGAAGGCCGCTCCTCGTCCGTATGTTTTCCAGTCCAACTTTTCCCATGCCGGGTCGCCCATCTGTGACATGAATACAAAGGCAAGATTAGCCAAGCGCTCTTGAAAACTTTTGTTGCCGTCTTTTTATTCATTCGACGGAATTTAGGTTTTATTAGGTTTAATTTGTTTCCAGGTTGTTAGTTGCCGTACTAGGTCACGCCAAGACAAACTGTCACTTTATTAATGATTTTCACTCTGTGAAGAGAAGGAATTCGTCTTCCTCGCTAAATATACACATTCAAGCGTACATATCAAAGATGGATTTTGTCGATCGTGTGTAGTACGGAACGGCTAAGAAAGTTGAAATCGATGGTAACAATAGCAAGAAATTTGAAAATTTTCAGATCGTGAAAATATGATAATACTGGAAATTATTGTAACCGTATCCACCGAACTGGTTGAATACATATACACACAAAATATCGACAAAACTCCTTGAGTAAAAAGAAGTAAAGGTTTCAGTTTAAATATCATTCAACGACTATAGCCTTTCCAATATAAGACAGAACACTGGGACGTCCCATCTTGTATTGTCACGATATTTAAACGAAATATTTATTAAATAACATCACAATGCACGTGTGTTTTCTGTCAAATTGATTCCTCGTATTTCTTGCATATGAAATCAATATCAATATCGAAAAAGAACGTGGCAAAGGATATAATTTTAAATCTATATGTACCTATGTGTATGTTCGTGTGTGTGCGCGTCCCTGGTATGGTGATCTACCTTCAGTTGTTAGGGATCTATAGGCCTTTTTTATATTGTATTGTCCTAAATAGTAGTATATTTGAAAGTTACATGCCAGTTTTAATTTTTTCACTGTGATATTCTAGTTGTTTTACTTTCTTTGTTGACAGATTTTAAAATCGAACTTTATTTATTATCAATATATGACTCGTTTTAGTCACGACATGGCTGAAATATTGCCGATGTAACCGTAATTCTTAACTCACTCGCTTCTGTGTTGGCGCGTGCGTGCGCGCGTGAGTGAAATGTGCTTCGTAAGACTTCATTACTGTATTCGAGTCTGGATGTCCCATGACGGTAAAGAATACCAAAATATCAAAAGTTTTAAAAAAATCATCCGTGCAAGTGTTTAATGACGTCTTCTCGCTACTTGATCCGCGCTATTTATTATCTTCAAGAGTAAAACAAACACAACAATATGCACATACACGATCTGAAACAACAGTATCGCTTTAGCGTCGCCATGTCCTTTCACGTCACACGACCGCTGTTTCTCCGATTAAAAGTAGATAAACAATCGTCAAGTAAAACCACCTCCATATTCTTTATCATGTCACGATAAGAATAATGGCCGGAGCAGTATCTTTCAAAATTCTTTCAGGAATGGTTTGTTGGGAAAGGAATATACGTCGAAGGTGGAGGTTTTCAGTTCTCCGTGACTGCACGAACAATACCTGAAGGAGAAAGGCACAGTTTGTTGGAATATTGTGAGAAAATGTTTGCTAATGCGAACTGTTCAGCCTTGGTAGCGAGAGCGTCCGTCCATTACAGACGACAAGCCGTTTCTGTGTAATTGCTCAAACAAAGGACTGAGAAGAGAATTTTATTTTTGTTTAGAATTGCTGCATTATCGCAACGATATCGTCTAAAAGAGAAGCTTCCGCTCGCGACAAGTACTGATTTCATCACCGTGTGCGCGGCGTCCAAAAGATCTCGCGAGATTTGTCGTCATAATGGGATTAAATGGGGACTCTTTGAAATGTGGATGAGCTCTAGGTGCAATGGAGAGTGGTGGAAAGCCACGAAAACATTATCTTTTCAGCAGGCTGACAGGTAAAACAAAACCAGCTCGTGCAAGAGCGAGAAAACACGATCGTGATGTTTGGTTAGCTCTTCTGTCGAGTCTACAAGCCTATGGAGAGCCTTGCTTGGCGAAGTCTGGATTCAAAGACCAAACCCTCGCACAATCCCTTCGCCCCGAGGCAGAGTGCTTGGACAATAAAACACATGAAAACCATCTACCAAACCGCCCGTTAAAATTGGTTGCTATTTTTCAGCGAATAATAGTCTCTAAGCTTTCCGTTTCGCGACTGGCGGCCTTTTACCAAGAATTGGCCAACAATTTTGTACACCTGATTTGTCGCATTCAAGCGGGACTTCCTTTTTAGTGGGAAACATTGGGCTGATACAAAGACGATAGTTTCCAACGCGTAAACACTTCAAAGTAGAAGGTCGCTCTCAACACGCACCGGTTTGGATGGGCTTTGGTGTGTAAGTTAATCAATGACTAGTCCTAGGGTCACGGCAAACAACGTTATCTATAGGCACATCTCTTATACAATGCTCGTAGGCTGGCCTTTCAGGTAGCAAATGTTAAATTCATGTTCAAGAGCTTCTTTAATTGTCGCAAGAGCAAACACGGATAATGACCGATTCCGTTTGCTTCTGGAACTGTTTAGGGATCGCTGGTTTCGATTTTAGGTCCAAAAATTTCTCTTGTGTTTTGGGATATACATAGAAATGTTACATGTTTTGGGTCGTGCAACGTGAGCATTTGTGCGCCGACCGATGACCCCTTTCTCTCTAACGTTGTATTTATTTGTTCGTGAGCACATAAAAACAGAGAATTACGCAGTCAAATCTCTTTCCAAGACAATAACTGTAGAAGTAATTCATGTATGTTAGTGAGCTTTAATTGGGGTTAAACGGAAGTTCGGGTTGATAATGAAATGGTGAGTTATCAATAGCCCTATGCCTGTATCACCGTCAGATGTCCTGAAGTTGAACAATATGTCTTCATGAGTTGCATATTGCCGTATAAGTGACACATGAACTATGGAGTGTATTTAAAGAATGCTTTTCTTCAAGGTCTGGAGCCATTGTCAGCATATATATTGATCAAAACGGGGATCATGGACATTTTTTTGGATATTTTTATGGAATAGCGTGTTGAGTCTTCAGAACAAACAAATCCCCCAAATATTTTTTAATCCATAACTGTTTGGTTCAGTGATTGATTGAGTGAGTGAGTTTGGTTTTACGCCACTTTTAGCAATATTCCAGCATTATCACGGCGGGGGACACCGGAAATGGGCTTCACACATTGTACCCATGTGGGGAATCGAACCCGGGTCTTCTGCGTGACGAGAGAACGCTTTAACCTCTAGGCTAATCCCACCGCCCCGTTACTGAAGTGGTACAGTGGTACTGCGTGGTATGAGACACAGTAAGAAGGTTCAACTCACATCGACCAATACACGGTATAGTGGAGCGATGTGACGCAAAACCCAACTCAACTCATAGTGGCGCGTGTGACGTTTGACGGTTTTAGACACATCAGTTTCACATGTTCAACTAACCCGGACTGATATGGAAACATTTATGTCGAGCTGTTGGACAAATGTTGTTAAAGACGGCAACCGAACGCTGCAAGCATATTTTTTGCGATGTTTAGGTTTTTTTATTCATTAACACCATAGCGAGCATAATGAGAGAGAGAGAGAGAGAGAGAGAGAGAGAGAGAGAGACAGAGAGAAAGAAAGAGAGACAGAGAGAGTTTATTTAATTCCAACTTTTTCAGATATTTGCATTTATCCCCCTGTCAACTGGCAAACACGGGCCCCGCGACTGTACCGTTAAACCTATATTGGTGACACATCAAAGACCCGTCCACAAGCAGGGAAATCGATACGAAGCCCGTGCCACCACACTCCAAGACGTCCCTTGAGCAGAAGACCAACTTCTTCAAGACCGTGATCCGGGCACTTTCCTCGCCCTTGGAACCTTGGGAACTTTCCCCCCTGTCCCCAGCCCCGGACTAACAGCGCGGGGTAAATATTTGCAGAGAGACGAGTCTCTCGCAGGAAACAGACGTACAAAGATTCTAGGGTTACCGCGCGCGTTCGACAGTCATGCACAGACTCACGACATTCACGGACTGTGTTTGTATTACTCCGCCGCATGATGGTTGCACGTGCTTGTCTGTTGTCCTGCACGTGCTAGAACAAAGGCTTTAATGACTGCTTGAAAAGTGGCAGAGTTTTTACTTCTATATCTCGTGATTTCGCCCAAAATGTTATGTTTTCTTAAATGTGCTTTGCACAGGTTGTGTCGGTGCAAATAGGTATGTTCACAAATGCGGGAATAGACCATTCGTGGCTGAAAGCTGTCGTGTGGGATTAAGCGGGAGTTGAAACACATTTCTACATTTTTAGTGCGGGTATAATTAAGAATATTAATGGGATGTGCACATACTGGTTGGGTAAATTTATATGAGTGTTTCATATAGGTACATGTACACTTTATTATCTACAGCCCGCCGTCATCCAGCTGGGATATACCTGAACAATATCAAGGTATTTTACTGAAACAACAAACAAACAACACATGATGTTATGATTTGCTATATTACACTTTATAAAAACAGTGATTCATGACCAGATTTTAATTTGTTTGTTTGTTGCTTAACGCCACACTCAGCAAAATTACAGCTATATGGCGGCGGTCTGTAAATAATCGAGTCTGGACCCCATATTTAAACATGATATGGAGAGTGTTGCGTTAACTAATAAAGAGGCATGTGTTAAATATGCAAATCGGGGGTTGACTGCAAATTCACTCATCGTAACCATCCACATTTGACTGCGTGTATTACTTTATTCAATAATGCAATATTCAAGCACTGTGAATAGGGGGTGTAAAATAACACGTGAAGGCCAGACAATCCGGTGACTGACATCATGAACATCGTTCTACGCAAATGGAATACGACAACATGCCTCAGCCACGTCAGCGAACCTGACCACCCGATCCCGTCTATCGCGTCTGACAACTATGGGTTCTTGAAGATCAATACTAACCCGGATATTCACAAATATTCTCATTAGAGGGTTCTTGGGAGTTGTTCTCCGGAATTTCCACAAGGGACATGTCATTGATCAAAATGAAATACCAAAGGTAGTGGTGATGATGATGATGATGATGATGATGATGACGATGGTGATGATGATGGTGGTGGTGGTGATGATGTCTGACTTGAACCAAATGAGGG